GGCGGGGCGGGCGGGGCGGGGCGGGGCGGGGCGGGGGGCGCGGCCGGCACAGATTGTCGCTGCATGCGGGAGGAGGCGAGGGAGGGTTGCAGCGAGCTAGGGTGCGCGGCGGGTCAACAGGCTCTGGGAAAAAGTAAAGGGGTGCGTGTGTGGAATCAAAATATCAATTTGTATGCCGCGGCTGGGTGCACCGTGGGGGTGGGGTGGTGGTGGCGGTGGCCTCCAGGGAGGCGAGAGGGACGCCCAGCCCGCAGGGGCATGGCCGCGTCGCCGCGTCGCCGGCCCCGCGGGGACGCGCCAATTCGTCCATTCAGCTTTTGTGTGCTGGTGTTAATAAACACTGTGTTTTGGTGAAGCGATTTGATGTCGAGGCGCCGCCTCTTCCATTTCTTCCTCGATTCCATTTCGGCGCCGCGCTTCGCCTGGCTTCGCGTTGCACGGCCGGGACGAGGTTCACCCCCAAGTCGCTCCGTCTCTCTCGCACCCCTACGGGACGCCCCGCAAGCGCGAGAGAGACAGAGCGCCGCGGGACTTGTCGCGAAGGGAGCGAGACCGCGGCATGTCGCCTCGCCTCGCTAGTTTCTAATCTCGACGGAAGCTCTGAGCCGCACTCAATTTCCGGGGCCACTGTGTCTTGATTCATCTACGGAGGGTTGTCGTCGCGGACCTGCACGCCGACTCGCTCGGTCTCTCTCGCACGCCCACGGGACGCCTCGTGAGAGCGAGAGAGACAGCGCGACGGGCCGCGAGGTGGCGCCACAAGCGGCACAGCTTGGTAGGGAAACGCGAGAGCCCGGGTTCGAACACCCGTAGAGTCCGACACTTTTTCCTCCTTTGAGCTTCCGCTGGCACCCGTCAGTCAAACTGTCCGCGAGATAAGCAGCGCGAAAGCAGTTCCACGTTCGCCGCACGCGTCGGAGACTTCCGCCTCCGCCAGGTGGAGCGCACTCTCCACGCCGTCAAGACGGGCCGACTCCCCTCGCCGCTCTCGTCGCTCTGTCTCTCTCGCACTCATGGGGCGCCCCCTACATGTGCGAGAGAGACAGAGCGACGAAAGCAGTGAGCGGAATCAGCCTCTCCGGGACGACGACGGCGACGTCTCACTGCGTCGGCCAGCCCAGCCGCCCCACAGTGGGCCAACCGGCGGAGGCGGCCGAAACTCTAGACGCGTTTTGAGCTCCAGATTCGCTAAATGGGACTCGAACCGAACGTGGGACCCCACCAATGGATTCCTCGTTCGGAGAGCAATCGATTGGTGGGGTCACACGTTCGGTTCGAGCCCCATGTAGCGACTCTGGAGCTCAAAACGCGTCTAGTTTCGGCCTCCTCCACCGTTCTTCTGGCCCACTGTGCACCCGCCCCGGTCGACGCAAGGCACGTCGCTCTGTCTCTCTCGCACCCCCACGCAGGGCACCACGAGTGCGAGAGAGACAGAGCGCGGCGTGTTCGGCACCAGCCTATGGACCGCCACCGCTGGACGGCAAATATTTGCGGTCGCCTTTATTGGCAGCCTTTGTTGTTTTTCGCAGCGTATCGGATGCCGGCTGCTGGCCGCGGGCTGGCCGCCCTGGCGCCCCGGGCTACCCGATTCCCAAGAGCCGTTTTCGTCGCTCTGTCTCTCTCGCACTCACGGGGCTCCCCGTCGGGGCGCGAGAGAGACAGCGACGGAGAGGACTCTCGGAATCGGTCTCCACGCTTTCGCGCCCTCGGTGCGCCCATATAACAGATTAATACTTTGAGCGGACCGGCAGACTGATTCCGAGAGTCTGTCTCTCTCGCACTCATGGGGCGCGGCCCCTGTGGGAGCGAGAGAGACAGAGCGACAGCGCCTTGGCCGTCACTTCGTTTGTCGCCGACGGCGCCATAACCTCATTTCTATTGTAATGGCCTGCCACTCGCCGGGGCGACACTCGGTCAGGAAGCGCTGCTGGCGCTGCTGCAGTGTTTACCATTTGTCCCTCTTTCACAGCTTTCCGAAGCGCACGCACCGAGCGCTCGCCAAGCGTGCCGTCTAGAGGGCGCAGGGTGCGCCGCGCCACGCCGCGCCACGCCACGCCACGCCACGCCACGCCACGCCGGGGGCGGTCCGCGCAACTAGTCGCGCTGAATACGGCATTGTGACGACTCAATGGCCCTTGATGATTGAAACAATGACGCGCCACCGGTTTTTCAACCAATTTGCTCGCGCGAGGACGCGGAGTGGTGTGTGTGTGGGGGGGGGGGGGGGGGGGGGGGCGTGTTGGTGTGTGTTGGTGACTGTTGGTGAGTGTTGTGTGTGTGTGTTGGTGTGTGTGTGTGTATGTGTGTGTGTGTGTTGAGGTAGGGAAGCGCGGTGGTGTCCGGGCGACCGGAAGAGAAACCGGAAGTTCCGGCCTTTGCTTCGGTGGACGGACACTGAGGGCGCTGGTGACCCCTCCGCGGCCCCTCCGAGGCCGGCCGGAAGCTGGCCGCCGCTCCGCGACCTGCCCGACGACAACAACAACAAGAGCGGCAGCAACAACAATTGGGCGCATAACGGGCCGGGCCGCAAAATACGGGGCAGTTGTTGGCCCCACAAAGGCGCTGGGGCGTCGCGATACGCCGGCCATTGTGGGGCTCCATGGCGCTCCATGGAGCCCCTCTCCGCCGCTCTCCTCTGCGCCCCCGCCATCGGAGATGCCCAGATAGGGGCGGGGCTCCCCCACCAATCCTTCCTCGGTTTTTATTTCGCGTCCCCGTTTGAAAACAGCAAACAATGGCAGACCAAAAGGAGCGCGCCCTCTATAGTTTGGTGGCGGCGTGAAACAAAATGCCGCTTTTCTTTTGAACAAGTCGACGTATCAAGGATCAGTTCGTATTTTGGATTCGTGATTTTCGGCCGAAATGGTGATGGCAATGATTCGCCTCCAAGGGGTGTGCGACTTCTTGCACTCCTTTAACGTGTCCGTCCTACACTACTCACTCCCACTCACTTAGATTTTAGCTGAAAAACGCCTCTATGGTGGGCAATTTGTGCGACAAATGCCAAGGCAAAAAGCAGAACTGAATTGAGCGGAAACTCACAACACTCACACTCAGTTTGCACATAATTTTTGAGGGAACAACCACTAGTGAAATCCTCTGTACACTTCAGTGGCCGGAATCTTGCGTGAAATCCCTTCGAAATCTGTTGAAATCTCATGAAAATCTGATGAAATCAGGTGAAATTCCATCAAAATTCCACAAAATCTCTCATAAGTTGGGGGGCCGACCCCTTGTTTGCTTCAGTTTCCTGAAAATACGCCCCTTTCTCCGACGCGGTTTCTTGTATTCCGCGCCGCCCCCAAGATGGCCGAACTCATCCTCCGCCTCGCTGCTTCATCCCTCCCCCCCCCCTCTCCCCGTCTTCCCCTCCCCTGCAGTGGCAGGCAGGGCCTTGCAGTGCCCCGCTACTCGCAGACTTGCGTCCCGCCACCTCCTTTTATGGCCCCTTTATCAGCTGAGTGTGTATACTCCTCTTCGTAATAAAACCTAAACGTGGGCCCATTTGGGAGGCTTTTGGATTTAGCGAGCGACGTGCGCCCCCCGAGCACGCGAGGAGTGGCGCGGCGGGGCGGGGTGGGGCGGGGCGCGGCGGGGTGGGGTGGATGGGGTGGGGCGGGGCGGGGTGGATGGGGCGGGGCGGGTGTGGCGGTGACGAAGTAGTTGTGCCAAGTCCCACTGGCTGTGATGGCCCCCCGCGCCTTGGTAGAGCGGCCGTTTCCACGCTGAAAAATGAAACAAAACTGAAAAAAGTCTCGGAAAAAATAAAAAAATAAAGCAATACAAACGTTTGAAAGTCTATCATAAGTCAACGAGCAGTGGACTTGAGTTGTGCGAACTTCAATCCTGTTCTCAAAGGGTTGTTTGTTTTTAGTTTGTGTTTTGGGATTAGGCAGGCCATTGTCTCCGTGGAGTCGTGCGTTTAAGTCCCACGGCAGTAACATCGAGGAAAGAAAACGGGGATCAATAATGAGAGAGTTCCTCAAAACCGAAACCAGGAAACTACAGAAAGATCCAAATAATGCTCTGAATTTCCGAGAATTTCCCCATTGGTCATCGGGCGGTTCCTGGTTCATTGCAGTGCAGGTGCCTGGGTCAACAAGCCGAGGGCGCCGTCGACGCACGCACCCACGCCGCCCTGGAGCAAGGCAGCTAGGCCCCGAGGCCGCAGAGGAGCTCCCGCCACTTGGTGTTTTCTCACCGCCTCGGCCGCCTCCACGCTATGGGGGTTAGCCACCACCAGAGAGAGAGAGAGACCACTATATGCCCGCCTCCTTTCTAAATTTTTCATAGTCATTCTTTTAGACTTTATTTCACGCCAACCAATTAGTACTGCGCCGCACCACTCCTCATTTTCCGCGGCTTCAAATCAGTCATAATGGAAAGCAATCAACTTGTTTCTCTCCCTTTGCCACCGTTTGATTTCTGGGTGTGCTTTGCCTTGGCCACAGCCAGGCAGCAGGGCGGCCCCAGAGCACTAGCAGAGCACGCCGCAACACAGTGGGCCAGAAGACCGGTGGAGGCTGTCAAAATTCTAGTCGCGTTTTGCGCTCCAGAGTCGTTAAACAGGACTCAAACCGAAAGTGTGACCCCACCAATGGATTCCTTTTTTGGAGAGCAATCTATTGGTGGGGTCACACGTTCGGTTCGAGTCCCATTTAGCGACTCGGGAGCTCAAAACGCGTCTAGAGTCTAGAGTTTTGTCCGCCTCCACCGGTCTTCTGGCCCACTGTGTAGCGGTACAAAGCCGAGCACGCCGCAAGCGGCACAAGCAGCCTTGTTCCCGCCCCGCCAGCCCCGCCACCGCGCAGCGCCGCGCAGCGCGCCACCTCGATACAGCGATATCAAGCGCAAACAAAAACTATCGGGTTGGGGCGGGCCCACGCCACGGCGCAGGGCAGGCAGGGCCGCGCGAGGGGCGGGGTTGGGGTGGGGGAGGTCCGCCCCGCAGGACCCTGCCAGGACCCCGCCGGCGCGACCGCTCACTTGTCCTGCTGGCGCCGCACGGGCAGGACAGTCAGGACGAGGACGCACCGCCCGCCCCGCCGCTCGCGCGCCAACACGTGGTCGCGGTCTTGTTGTTGTTGTCAGGATGCGTGTGTTGTTGTTGTTGTTGCCGTTCAAGTCAGTGGGAAGTGACTGTGCCGAACAGACGGGCCGCCACGCCGGTCAGTGAGGACTTGCTGCACGGAGAGTCGGAGTTGCAGCACACTCGAGTGAGTACGAAATACGAGGAGGAACACGAGATTTCACGCTGTTCACTGTAAATGTCTTACGGTGAAAGGCTGCACCAACATATTATGGTGGAGATTCTATCCATAATACCAACGAAATTCGTCAAAATATCTATGAGGTAGAGTGAATTCTCAATGGTATGTTACGAAGTCAGCTGCACCACCATAATATGGAACATTTTCACCATAATATGAAGAATGTTCACTGTACAACATTAAGAGTGTTGTCGCAACCTGAACCGCTCGAGATTTCATTTCAATAAGTACTTCTTTTAAATCGTTATTTAAAATTTTAAACGAGTATTGAAATTATCGTAAAACACTTGCAAGCCCCTCAGCCAAGTCAATTTTGGAAAGATGTGGACAGTGATTTGTGTGGTAATCTTTGCTGTAAACGTAGCAAAAAAAGGGTTCGAAGCTTTATTTTCGGTTTACTCACTGTACAAGATTTGTCTTCCGGATCTGAGCAACCCCTTGACTTAAGAATGAGTTAGAGTATTTTATTTTTAATTAATTTAGAAATTTTGAGTTAAACTATGTTGAACTTTAGCGACACACAGACCGGTGGAGGCGGCCAAAATTCTAGACACGTTTTGAGCTCCAAAGTCGATAAATGGGACTTGAACCGAACGTGTGACCCCACCAATAGATTGCTCTTCGAACAAGGAATCCACTGGTGGGGATCACACGTTCGGTGGGAGTCTCATTTCTCGACTCTGGAGCTCAAAACGCGTCTAGAGTTTTGTCCGCCTCCGCCGGTCTTCTGGCCCACTGAGCGACACCGTCCGGAAAATTCCTCGCGTGATACCCAAACCCTGTTGCAGGCGATGCACCCCACCTCACCCAGCATGATGGGCGCCAAAGGCGGCCTCATGGACTCGGCCCACATCAAGCGGCCCATGAACGCCTTCATGGTGTGGTCGCGCGGCCAGCGCCGCAAGATGGCGCAGGAGAACCCCAAGATGCACAACTCGGAGATCTCCAAGCGGCTCGGCGCCGACTGGAAGCTGCTCAAGGAGTCCGAGAAGAGGCCCTTCATCGACGAGGCAAAACGACTCAGGTGCGTGTTCGGTGGCGGGTCCACATAGAGATGGGCAAAGAAGCACTTTTTGCCTACATACACTGGTAAAACTGGAACGTAGTTGTACGCTTCATTCAAGCATACAACTACCGTACGCTTGAAGACTTTACGCGCTGGACGTCAAGCGGAGAGAAGAAATCCTCCCATGCATTTAGATAGGCGAGAAAGGGGTAAAATGGACATCTACGCTTGAAGCCGAGCGTCGTTCTACTACGCTTGAAGAAAGACGTAAAAGTACGCTTGAGTTCTACCAGTGTACAGCTACAAAGTGTGGTCTTTTGACCCTTGCGTTAAGCTCACCGAGTTCGTGACTCGGCTTCGGCGGATCGCCGACAAGGTGTGAGGCGGATTCCAAAGCGCTCATGAACTCGCTTATCTATAAGTCTAGACAATGCACTGGAAAAATAATTGTTATTGAATCCGACAAAATGGAGTTTTTGAAAACGACTCAACGACATGGCGTGTCGAAAGAAAAACGTGTTGTATACGTACCACAGCACATTTTGATCTGCCTTAGCTGCCTTAGCTAGCTTATCGACATCATATGCGGTTGGAAGGTTTGGGAGGTTTGAATTTAGGAGAACCAGAAACCGTTTTTACCGTGCACCGTTTCTGTAAACATGGACTGTTAAAAATTTGCTAAAAGTGGGAAGTAAGTGTTAAATTAGAACTCCCCGCCGCATGACGCATAATAGCCAGACCACGGTTTAAAATTTAAAAAATTAAAAATTAAAAAAAATAAAAAAACGGCGCGCAGTGTTGTGAGAGGGCAACCCCGTCGACGCTCCCGCCCGCTTCCCCCGAAGCCGGGCCGCGCTGGGCCCGCTATCTGCAGAGTCAGGTGGTGTAGATTGCAGAAGTGTTTCTTCCACTGAAAATCATCCCCATTGTGTTGGAGGCGCCCCCTTTTCACGCCATTCAATTCCCACTGTATATCATAGCGCGCGATCTCTCGACGGCGTCGCGCCTTGCCTGTCTGTCTGTCCGTCCGTCCGTCTACTGATCCCCTAGACCGCGGTGCCCCGCCGCGCCCCGCCGCGCCCCGCCCCGCCGCGCCCCTCCAGGCCACGCCCACTGCACTGAGACAATGGGACGGACACGCCGGGACAAAAGCCCCCCGCGAGAAGTGCCTCTCCAGAGGCTTATTGGCTGGATGCGAAATGGAGAGCTCTTCCGTCAGTGTATCAACTTTTAAATTTTTAAACTTTCATTTTTAAAATTATTGGATCGGCACTTTTTACTGGTGCAGGCAAGAAACAAAATTTCGAAGATAAAATTAAGATTTTTAACTATTTTTCTAGCTTTTCTTTGACGCTAAAAAATTGAAATCTGTTAAAACTGGAAAAAAAAATGCTCATTGACAAATATTTGAATACGGTTTAGGAAATGAAAATACTTGGCGTGTAGAGGCTGAGTTCGGGATGCGAAATAATCAGTCGAGTGCGTCGAGAAAGTATGGATAGTGAAAGGGGATACACTGTGAGAAAAAAGGACGGAAAAAGTACGGTACATGTCAGCGGCCGTTGGGCATAAGGGCGTAAGTCACATGGGAAACCCATTGCTGTCCGATGACCACTCATGTCTGGCCAATAATTTGCCTGGACCGTCCGTACTTGCCAACTACGGAACTTCCGTACTTTTTTCGGTACCCGTTTACATGGGTTCAAATGGAGCAAGTACGGACGTTCCGTACTTTTCTCCGTATTTCCGTACTATATTTTTCTGTACCATTTCCGTACACAAGTACGGATTTTTTTTACAGTGTGTGGGATCGGGGTGGGAAAGCAATCTGAGGCTCGTCACCACTCCACAGGTTGGCTCCGTCAGGTGCTCCGAGCGAGGGAGGGAGAGAAAGAGAGGAAGAGAGGGTGAAAGAGAGAGGTGGGGGAGGAGGGAAGCTTAGTTACCTCGCTTCCATTAACTTGGCGAGGTCCGCTCCCTTAAACAAGGCAGCGAAGCCGAAGTGTTCGGTTCAGTTTGCGTTTGAGGATTTTGCTTTCTCTATGATTTTTTAAAAAAGTACACGAAACAATTTTCGGCTCCCTCGAATAGTGGTAATTTAAATTTCCACCTGTCTCCATCATCTCCAGGGTCGCTAAATAGACTAGATCCGAACGTGTGACCCCACCAATGCATTGCTCTCCGAATGAGGAATCCGGACGGGGTCGGTTTCGAATCCAATTTAGCTACTCTGGAGCACAAAACGCGTCTAGCATTTTGGCCGCCTCCACCATGGCGGCCTGTGGCGGCCTACTGTGATTGCTTGTTTGGTGGATTGATGTGGCCGACAGATTACTTTCCGCAGCAAGGCGTGGTTAGCATCCGATGACATTAAGCGCCCGTGTGGCCCCCGGCGCCTATTTGGGGCCCCCATTTAGATCCCCATTTAGGCCCCCATTTAGGCACCCCCGTCTTGTTGTTGTTGGTGCTGGTGCTGGAGTGGCGGCAGTGGGGCCAACATGGTGGTCGTGCACTAATTGGCCAGCCCCCTGACCCCCTACCTCCCCCTTGTCTTTTTCTCAGGTTTCCGTTGTTCCCTGCCCTGCTTCTTTTCTGTTGTTCACCCGAAAAAGCGATTCGCGAAAAGCGGTTCGCGGAGGGGCCATCCTTTTTAGATCGCGCGTCTTATCTTGATGCGGTGGGGGAGTATCGTCCTCTCTCTCTCTCTTTACACACACACACACACACACACACGTGCACGCGCACACACACACACACACACACACACAGTGGCGTCGCGTGCAGGTGAGGCGTGCGAGATTCGTCCCCGAGGCCATACGCTGCACGCGGTGCGACGCGGCGTCGCGGACGTAACCCCGTTACGGCCCCGTCGCCGCGTTGTCCTCGGGGCGCGTCTCGAAGGAGACCCCCCCGGTCCCCCCGCCCTTTTCAATGCTGCAACAATTTCCCGGTCCCCTCGAACGAAAATGCATCTGGAAGGTTGATGCCGCGCTCGCGGAACGAGCCGCGTGTTTCCAGCAGAGTACACCGCCGAGCCGAGCCGAGCCAAGCCGAGCCGAGCCGAGCCGAGCCGAGCCGAGCCGAGCCGAGCCGAGCCGAGCCGAGCCGAGCGGGGTCCTCGATCGCCTGGCTGCCTGGCTGCCTGGCTGCCTGGCTGCGGTGCTTTTCATAACCTACTTCTGGCTCTCGGGTGATAGAAGAACAATAATATCAGCATTAACGCGCGGCTTAGGCCAGAGCACCCCGCCGCACCTCGACGAGGAGGTGGGGAGAGAGGCAGCACTGCGCTCTCTCTCTCTCCCTCTCTCTCTCTCTCTCTCTCTCTCTCTCTCTCTCTCTCTCTCTCTCTCTCTCTGAGACTCTATCAAAAGTCACTTATACGGAAAATATCTCAATAAAGGCACTGTAGCGCGATAATAGGCAGGCCAGCGCCACGAGTGCGAATGAGTTGGCCCCGCCGCACCCCGCCGCGCCGCGCCCCGCCCCGCCCCGCCCCGCCACCCCTCGCCACGTGGCGGGCACGTGCCGCCTCCCCCGGCCCTCGAAGAAGCGCCCGGCAAACCTCCGTGCAAATCCCTCTCCTTTGCTCGGCAGACATGCATGCGCAGTGGCAGTGCAATCGCAGTGCAGTGCCGCGACGACGCGACGGGCGAGATGGAGCAGGCGGATAAAAAGGCCCGGGGGAGTATCGGACCATGTCGGGTCGGTCGGCGTAGTCCGCGCGGGAGGAGTAATAGAATTAGCGGCGAATCGCGGCAGTCGGTGACTCGCGGCGGGCGAAAAGGGGGAAACAACTGAGATCTAGACCAGTGGTTCTCAACCTTAGGGTCGCGACCCCAAGTGGGGTCGCGAAAAAATTTTAAGGGGTCGCGGCGAGGTAGCTGGGGTCGTGTTTTGGGCCGATTTTAAGCAGCCACTGCGTCTGATCCGGGGCGGGCATTTTGCTCCCTCAACCGGCAATTGGTCTTTGAACCTTCCTTTAGCATGCCTTTGTTACGGAGTGTGATTATCAGTCTTAGTTTGGGAGCAGTATTGACTCAAAGTTTACCAAAACGGTCAGAAATGTCTATGAAAAATCGTGTTTTGGGCCTATTTTAAGCAGCCACTGCGTCTGACCCGAGGCGGTATTTCGTCCTCCTTCAACGGGCAATTGGTCTTTGGACCTTCTTTTAGCATGCCTTTGTTACGGAGTGTGATTATCAGTCTTAGTTTGGGAGCAGTATTGTCTCAAAGTTGGCCGAAACGCTCAGAAATGTCTTTGAAAAATCGTTGTGCCTGTTTTGGTCAACTTTGCACAATACTGCTCCCCAACTAAGACTGATAATCGCACTCCGTAACAAGGCATGCTAAAGGAAGTCCAAAGACCAATTGCCCGTTGAGGGAGCAAAATGCCCGCTCGGATCAGACGCAGTGGCTGCTTAAAATCGACCCAAAACATGATTTTTTAAAGACATTTCTGAGCGCTTTGGCCAACTTTGAGACAATACTGCTCCCAAACTAAGACTGATAATCGCACTCCGTAACAAAGGCATGCTAAAGGAAGGTCCAAAGACCAATTGCCCGTTGAGGGAGCAAAATGCCCGCCTCGGATCAGACGCAGTGGCATGCTACAGGAGGGGTCCCTTGGGGTCGCGAAACTTTTCCTGGGGGTCGCGGAAATTTTTGGCTACAAATTTGGGGTTGCGAGCCGAGAAAGGTTGAGAACCGCTGATCTAGACGCTGGTGGGACAAAGCCATAAGCACCACGCTTTAAAAAAGCTGTAGAACTAGGTTTTCTTTATTGTTTTCCTGAGTGTCACATCCCAAAAGGTGACTTCTTGGATTAAAACATTTTACTTTTCTTGAGAAAACTTTTCTTAATCCAACCTTTTTTTTGTATGAAAAAATTTTTCTTATGTGTCAAGATTTTTTTCTAACAAAAACCAAAATAATTAGCAATTAACAAACTATTTTTCTGGGTGCAATACGACCCGTCCCTGCCAGAGTAGTAGCCACTCGTCTTCGAGCAGGCTTCGTTTGGAGCACAAAAGGCGACACCTCGGATCGGAGGCCACCTCGGCGCTGCCGACTCGTCTCTTCGCGCACCATCGCGGTAATTCTAGGCGTTGCTATCGGGTATCTCAGCAGCGGCGTATTCGCGGCACCACGCCCCGCCCCGCCCCGCCCCGCCCCACCACGCCACGCCACGCCACGCCCCGCCTCACCCCACCCCGCCCCGCCCCGCCAGCGCGGCCGTTATTTGCTAAGTCGCTAAATGCGTCCAGGATGCGCGATAAGGCGGCTGCAGGTTCCTGCTTCTGGTCCTGGCGGCCCACAGTGGGCCAGAAGACCGGTGGAGGCGGCCAAAACTCTAGACGCGTTTTGAGCTTCAGAGTCGCTAAATGGGACTCGAACCGAACGTGTGACCCCACCAATGGATTGCTCATCCGGAGAGCAATCCATTGGTGGGGTCACACGTTCGGTTCGAGTCCCGTTTAGCGACTCTGGAGCTCAAAACGCGTCTAGGGTTTTGGCCGCCTCCACCGGTCTTCTGGCCCACTGTGAGGCCGCTGCCGCCGCCCGGCGGGCCAGGGTAGGCAACGCGCCACGCTGCGCTGCGCCGGGGCGGCCTAGGCGCCGTTCGCAGGCGCTCGGCTTGCCGCTCCTCAAAGTCTTTTACGGCCGCGCACTCATTACTCATCGTCGCGCTGTCTCTCTCTCTATCTCTCTCGCACCCACGCGCGGTGCCCCATGAGTGCGAGAGAGACAGACAGACGGCGCTCGGCCGGGCGAGTGGTGCGCGGGCACGGCCGTCCCCGGGGAGGCCGGCCGCTACAAATTGCGACACCACTGCGCGCGGGGCACGCCGAGGAAGGGTCGCGAAGGACGGCGACCGCGGCCACGACGCAGGCGGAGGCCGCGGTCGCCGCGGAGGCCGCGGAGGGGAGGCCGACGCGCTTGTTGATAACGGAGCCAAATCCCGTCTTTGTGTCCGGGAGTCCCGCAGTCCTGCGCGCTGCCGCCGAGCTGCGAGTGGAGGGGGGGGGGGGCTGCGGCTCGGACGCCGCCGCGGTCGCCATACGAATCAAGTGCAGCGTGACGTCAAAGGCCGCAGTAACTTACGCCAAGCGTAGTGCCTATCGTGCCTGCACGATATACTCATGGTCCCGGGTTCGAATACCCGCCTCACTTTCAATTCCACAGCACTTTTTTTTTGGCATGGCCGTCTGCTTGCTTGGAAGCAGGCATCCGCGCCGAGTCCGTTCCGAAGTTAAAACTGCCTCTTCGGGTTTGGCCGCTCGGCTCGCTCGGGGGCATCCGATCGGCGCGTCCGTCCGGGTGTGGGGCCCAGTGGGCCGGGGGGGGGGGGGGGAGGCTTATACTGGTCCTGCCACAATGGTGCACAATGGAGAACCCCCCTTCCGCTTTCCAATGCCGCCGCGACGCCACCACACTACAGCAAGCGTCCTGACGGTCAAAAATATTTCATTTTTAAAATGCGAAAAAAATCAAGCAAGTCAGCTGGCTTCCACCTGTTGGAATGTCCAATCGTGGAAAGAGGCTGTGCTGATGCCGAAAACGTCTAACGTTGGCCGCTCGGCGCGGCGATGGGGGAGGCTGCGTGAGGATGTGGGGGGGGGGGGGGGGGCACCATCGTATCGCTCCACCGTGGGCCATATCACCAATATTTACTCCCACGTGTCGCAGCACAATGGCATATTAGAGGCAAAGGCGCCATGCCCGTATCTGTACCGCCCCCGCGCCGGCCCGCCCCCGCCCGCCCCCGCCCGCCCCCGGCCGGCATCGGGAGACGCCTCCGGCACACCCTTTCACCAGGCAGCCGGGAGGGGAGGGGAAGGGGAGGGGGAAGGGGCGCGGGGCATCTGCTGATGCTTGGCTCGCAACAATGGGGCACAATAGCGCCGAATCCACACAAAGCGCCATATTGTGCGCGGGGCTTTTCGCACTCTCTCCTCCCCTTATTACATTTCCTCGCCTCCCCCTTCCCCCTCTCACCCCCTCCCCCTCCCCTCCCTCTCTCCCTCCCTCTGTCCCTCCCTCCCTCCGCGCCCCGCGAGCCGCCGCCGTCTCGCTCCCACTTTTGTCTCTCTATGCAAAAGAGCCCGCCCTGTGTGTCTCCAGCGATTTCCGCTCGCGCTGAGTGTTAATTTTGTGTCCGGCGGTCCGCCTGCCTTCCGGCCAGCAGCGTCGCCCGTTTTCATGGTCAGCGGCTCGGGTTCAAATCCCGCTGCTGGCCCGGTTTTCTTTTCTTTTTTATCACCTGTTTTTAAAAGGCTGATGGTAAGCGGTTTCTCTTGTAGACCACCTTTAGGCGAGCGATCTCAAAATAGATAATCAGTGACTAAGTTTTTTTTTTTCAACTTAAAAAAAATTGTTGACATTTGTATACGAGGTCATGAATTTCGACCACTGACACAGCATCGACACGCAAGCACTCCACTCACTCTCACTCACTCACTCACTCACTCACTCACTCACTCACTCACTCACTCACTCACTCACTCACTCACTCACTCACTCACTCACTCACTCACTCACTCATACTCTCTCATCTCGCTATCAGCTTACGTCACGTCTCCGTCCGCGGAGAGCGTGGGCCGCGGGCAGGGCCTCTGTGTTGCGCCCCGCTCCACCACACTCGAGAGGGCCCCGTCCCGTCCCGCTAACATGACTCACATGGAAGACAAATATTGTCTCTCGATTGCTCGTCTTATCGAAAGGTTATCCGTCCGACCGTCCGTTGGGCCGTCCTGCTCAGGAGACGCGGGGCGGGCGGGGCGGGGGAGCTAGACCAGCGACGACCAGGACGACCGGGGCACAGCTACTTCAATAGCGACATTGTGGAAGGAAAATACAGATAGCGGTGGAAATAGAGATGGGGCGCGGAGTGTGTGCACTTTGATAGACAGTGCGCTGCCCGTCCACCTGAGCAGGAAGGCGAGGACGGCGAGGGAGTTGGGGGAAAAAATACGACTGCTGCCGCATTTTTTGCGCCGTTGCGTGGCGTGGTGTTCCAAGTGGTGAAAAAAGAGTTTCCAGTTTTGTTTTCAACTTGTTTTACTGATAAATGGCAGGAATCGAGAATCCCCTTCGGCTCACTGGAATGCTACGAGACATAGCCGAAAGACGTTGGCATGGATTCCCTGCGCCTAACCTAATCTAACTCAACCGCCCTTATCACCCGTTTTGTTCGTTCCCACAGAGAGCTGCACATGAAGGAGCACCCCAACTACAAGTACCGGCCGCGGCGCAAGCCCAAGAGCCTCGTGTCCAAGATGGAGTCCTCGGGCGGCGGCGGCGCCTACGGCCCGCCCGGCTCGCCGCACCACCCCGGCCTGGCCTCCAGCCTGGCCGCCATCCCCGGGCTGTCCGGGCTGTCGGGGCTGCCCCGCCTGCTGGCGCCCTCCCCCTGCCCGCCGCCGCCCCGCCACGCCGACCTGCCCCCGCCCCCGCACGGCTTCAGCCCCGGCGCGCTGCTGTCCAGGGCGCTCTTCCCGCCGCTGCCCTACCCCCTGTACCCGCACCTGCAGCACCTGCACAAGGTCCACGCCGTGCACAGCGACGACCTGCAGGCCTCGGGGAAGATCGCCGACCTGGCGTGGCAGGTGAGTCGCAGAGTAGCAGTGGAGGAGCAATGCGGAGCACAGTGGGCCGGAAGACCGGCGCTGGCGGCCAAAACTCTAGACGCGTTTTGAGCTCCAGAGTGACTAAACAGGACTCGAACCGAGCGTGTGACCCCATCGATGGAATCGTCGTTCGGAAAGCAGTCCACTGGTGGGGTCACACGTTCGGTCCGAGTCCCGTTCAACGACTCTCGAGCTCAAAACGCGTCTAGAGTTTTTGTCGCCTCCACCAGTCTTCTGGCCTACTGTGCGGAGACAGAGCCGGCCTTGGAGGGGGGCAAAGTTTCACTTTTTGCCCACACTGTGTGTTTTATAACTAAGCGCCCTAAGGCTGTCTGTTGCCTTAGAAACAAAGACAATTCGACTCTGTTCGATTTTATTTCGGATTCGATTCGATTTACGATTGGAAAATGCCGCCCTTTGGCGTCCAGAGTGCCCCGTGTCTGACGCTGACGCGTGCCGCTTGTTGCAGGCGCTGTACAGCTCGTCGCTGTACTCGCAGGCCGCCGCGTCGCTGACGTGGCCGCCGCCGCTGCTGCAGCCTCCGCACCCCAGCCCCTGCGGCCTGCACTGCGGCTGCGGCGCGCCGCCCTCGCCGCCGCTGCGCCGCAGCCCGCTGTCGGCCAGCCCGCGCAGCCCGCGCAGCCTGGCCAGCCCCACGCCGCCGGACGTGAAGCGGCCCATCGCCTTCCTGGCGTCGCGGCGCCACGACGCCGGCCTGCTCGACCTGCTGCCGGAGCCGCCGCGCGCCGACGACCGCCACAGCCCGGAGCCCCAGGACCGCGACAGCCCCGAGATGCTGCGGTCGCCGCCGCGCGCGCCGCCCTTCCCGCCCACGCCGCAGCACGTCATATGAAAACCACTCCCGGTTCTCCCGGAGGCGGGCGACCCGCTCCGGGGGAACCTCAACCTACGCCTCTGGGCGGCCGGCGGCGGCGGCGCCGGGGGTGGCGCGGGGGGCGGCGCGGGGGGCGGGGCGTCGCTGCCGCCGGGGGCGCCGCTGCGGTGGTGGGGCGTGCCGAGCCACCTCGACGCCCCCGCCGCCGCGCCGCCCCCCGCGGGCTCGCCGCCAGGACAACGCGATGACCCTCGGCCCCGAGGCACGCAGCACGCGCAGCAGGGACAACAGTGATTACTGCAGTCTCGTGGATCTCAACCCAGCCCAGTGACTTGCCCGGACTTGCCAGTGCAGTGGGTTCGTAGGAATTTTTTGCCTACTGACGGGCGGGAGTACTGTCAGTCGCCTACTCACCAGGTGTGTTTTCTTAAGGACAACGCTCCCCTCCCTCACCCTCGGTTGCTACTCCACTGGCCACGACTGGGCCGGAATTCGAATTGCAGTTGTGACTACACTGCTGCCCCCACTCTCGGATGAGTAAATTTCTAATGTTCACGATATGTTGTGCTTCTTTGTGATATTGGGAAAAATGACTTGGTCATCGTCGTGAGACTCCGACCGTCCGGCGATGGACATTGTGATCTAAGTGTTAAGGGCCTACGTGTTGTGGTCGAGAGGTTTGTCTGTTTTGCCTCTTGTGTTTCAACTTCAAGTGTGCATGAACTTCAAAGAAGATGAAAAATATTTTTCATGACATATCTCGAGGTGCACGGATGGACTGGTGTTTCGTGTTGCACATCGCTACGTGCAAGGCAGCGACAAAGCTGCGTTATATTGGTCGTGGGAGAGGCTCAACGTTATTATTTTTGTTTTGTTTCAAATTTTATTCGTTTTCTTTAATTCTGTTAATTCTTAACTTTGTTAGATTTGAGAGTCGCGCGCGTCCGAGTAAAATATACTGAACTGTTTGTTTCGATCGTGAAAATGTTAATGTTCGTATAAATAATGTAAAAAATGTTTTTGTACAGGTGTATTGCGAATAATTGTTCAACGAAATAAAAAAATTATAGCATAGATTCCAAAATTTCGTCTTTCGTCACAGTTAGGCACAACAATTACCCTGTATCAAAGTTCGGAAGAAAATAAAATGGCACACACACTCACACAAACTCACACAAACAGACAAATACACTCGCAAATTTAAATTGACATTAGTGTCATTTTTCGACATTTTAAATGCTCTCAATTTTAAAGGCGTTTCTTTTTCTCTTCTTTTCCTCTTCTTTTTTCTTCTTTCTATTAAGTAGAAGTCAAAGAGATGAGTAACCACTGGCTTGGCGCTTGCGTATTCCAAAGGGCGAAAAGTGTCCGGAATAAGAGCGGCATGATGAATGCCCGGGTCGCGATGATGTAAACACGTAGAGGGTGCAGAATGGTGGGGCGGGGTGAAGCGGGGTGGGGCGGGGTGGGGCGGGATGGGGGGGGGGTGGGCGGGTGGGGCGGGGTGGGGCGGGGTGGGGTGGGGTGGGGCGGGCGGAGGGGCAAGGGAGGCGCTCCTTGAAGTGGGCGGTGCCTGTCATTTAGATATATTGTATCCCTTTTTATGGAGTTGCCGCGTCCTGGCGCGTCCTGCCGTGTCCTGCCGTGTCCTGGCGGGGTCCTGGAGACGCCGCGTTATTTCCTGAGTCTTATTTCCTCGCCGCGGACGTGACGCCACTGTGAGTAACGCGCATCCAGAGAGAGAGAGAGAGAGAGAGAGAGAGGAGAGAGAGAGAGAGAGAGAAGCGGGCGCTTTTTTGTGTGAGCCGGACTTGCAGGAGGAGTGGGCGCGTAACCAAACTACATTACACCCAGCAATTCTTGATAAAACTGAAATGATTCATGTTACCTTGTGGGTACATAGTGTGTATGTGTGTGTGCGTGTGTGTGTGTGTGTTTTGTGTGTGTGTGTGTGTGTGTGTGTGTGTGTGTGTGTGTGTGTGTGTGTGTTTGACCGCGCGGCCCTCGTCCGGCAGCACGTCGCTTCCTCGTTTCCGGTCCATTTTCCGTCTCATTTTCCGATAAGGGTAAAAATGGCGCGCGCGCCTCGCCGAAGGCATGCATCGCCGCGCAGGGCCAGGCAGGCAGGGCAGGGCAGGGCAGGGCAGGGCAGGGCAGGGCAGGGCAGGGCAGGGCAGGGCAGGCCCCTCCGGCCCGCCAACGCCAAAGGGGACCCACTTGCTGGTCAGCCCCGCAGCCCCTTTGCTTTTGATATAGTGTGTTCTAGCCGCGCGGCCACCGGGCGCCCCTTCGGGCCCTTCCCCCACTTCCTTGCACATTCCGAGGGCGTCGTATTTCACAGCCGCGAATCGACTGCCGCGCGAGTCCGAAGGATCGCTCTGTCTCTCTCGCACCCCTGCGGGACGCCCCATGAGTGCGAGAGAGACAGAGCGAGACTCTGCGGCATCGGCGGCCTCGCCGTTGACCGGGCCGATGATCGCCTGGCGGCGTCCCTTGGACGGCCTCGTGTTGTCGATTTGCGGCGGCACGCCACGGCGGGCAAGCCGGCCATCCCGCAGCACCACATTTAGATCGCCGTCCACGACACAATCAACTGACCGAAACGGTCGTCTTACCGCGGGGCGGCAGCATGGCAGCCATGTCGCTCTGTCTCTCTCGCACCCTTACGGCGGGCTCCGCGAGTGCGACAGAGACAGAGCGACGACGAAACGACTCCACACTGAATCGCACGGCAGGGGGATGGAATGTGATCCGAGAAAAGGGTTGGCGGTTTGCGCGTTGCTGCGACGCGTTGCGACCGGGATCCCATTCGCGGCTCCGCGGCACGGAACGATCGGACCCGAATCGCCAGTGCCGAATCGCCACCACACTGCGCGGCCCGGCCGGCGGCAGGACCAGCGGCCGGCGCATCCTTCACAGGGTGTACCCGCCGAGCCAAGGCAGGGTCCGATCGGTTTCTCGTTTCCATTTTTCGTCCTCTTACAATGTGCCACTCTCACTCTCGTCGAACTTTTCCTACCCATCACTGTCTCGCATGGCTTTCGCACATCCTTTTCATATCGTTTGTGCTGTTTCCCATTTCAATAATTTCGTTTTCACACCGTTGAGTCTTTCGACGTTTTTGTTTTCCATTTACAGCTTTTCTCTCTTTTTAAGTTTTATTAACATTTTCTTCTTTTACAGAAAACGTCTTATTTTTTCAAGATTTGGCACTCTTTTTTTCAGCAAAATTTCATTTTTCCACCCCTTTTTTGTGCTCCTCCTCCACCCAATCACTGGGGGGCAGGTCGTGCCCGCTTTATAGAGGACGCCGCTCCGCCTCCACCGGTCTTCTGGCCCACTGTGCGACGGTCCCCGATGGTCCCCGACGGTCCCCATAGTCGCTCAATCACAACGCGCAGAGCGGCGCAAAGGAAGAAGGAAGGGGTCAGTCCACCCTTTTGATGTGCAATAACGGAGAGGCGCCGCAGCGGCCGCCCGATTTTCCTCGCTCTGTCTCTGTCGCACTCATGGGGCTCTCCATGAGGGTGCGAGAGGGACAGAGCGACAAGCCGCTCGAATCGCCGGGACGCTCCCCCGAGACCCTCGGACCCTCGCCGGCCGCCACTAAACGGGATAACTGGAGACTTTAACGCACACACTTGCCGCGTCGCATAAGCTAATCCACTCACAGCGGTTTTACAAAAGGGACAAAAAACACACAGAGAGGAGCCGGGCTTCGGTTGGGTTTGAACCTCTTCATATGAACTGCCCCCTCCCCCTCTTCTCTCTTCTCTCTCTCTCTCTCTCTCTCTCTCTCTCTCTCCCTCTCTCTCTCTCTCTCTCTCTCTCCTCTCTCTCTCTCTCTCTCTCTTACACACACCCACACCAAGCGCCAGCCCCATTCAACCCTATCCTCTGAGGGGCTAAAAGAATACCCCTCTTATAGCCACAAATAAGCGGCTTACGGCCTTGCTGGGGTGGTCATCATGTTCCCTCCAGCCTAGCCTACTCGGCGAGCTGCTCGGCCAGAACGGCGCGCCTCGCCCCGCTTCACCGCCCCTCGAGTTTTGTACACTTCCCCCGTTCGAAAATGTGAACGCAAACGTTGCGTGGGGGAACGCCTTTTAGAGTGTTTCCTGAGAATGATGGCGATAGTCGTTTT